GTATAAGAGACAGTATATATATATATATATAAATCAAAGTAGCTGCATGGGCAGGGTGATAATATAAAATCAAAGTCAAACAGGTAGTAATCTGCCTCAGTGAAATTTATTAATACGACATGTTTCGGGCATAGCCCATCATCGGTACTTAATGATGGGCTATGCCCATCATCAAGACCTGTACCTGACAGCCGTTAACACTGTTAACCGCTATGAGGTACAGGTCTTGTTTCTAGCCGTACTTATTGTGTAATGGAGTGTATCTGGTGGTATTTGAATCTGTTAACCATGAAGCCTCCGTGGTCCAATGGTTGTGACGCTCGCCTTGACAGCGAGAGGTCGTAGGTTGGATTCCCGCCATAGGAATTTTATTACACAATTTCTTTATTTATTTATTTACAGGACTACATTCGTTGAGAGCTATGCTGCATGATGAATTATTATGTCCTTTATTCGAACACTGTATTTACCTTTCTTTGATGATTTATGTATAGAATTTAACAGTGTTAAAGGCTATCTTGATTTATATTATATAAAAAAATGCGAGCTTGGCTGTTTCCTTCAACGAAGACAATTCAATGTAATTCGTTTATTCAAGTAAACAAGCCTCCGTGGTTTATCATGTAGGCCTTGTTTACTTGAACGTAGAAAAGTGTTACTTCCACTTCATATCCATATACTGTGTTCACGTCTGTATATACCGTACCACAGGTGGGCAAAGTGCGGCCCGCCAGCGATTTTTTGCGGCCCGCGAAAATGAATTAAAAACCCTATGTGTGCCAAGCAACATTGGCCAGAAAACACCTTGTTTTTATGGCCCGACACCGATCATATGTAAAATAAAACTGAGAATAAATTGGGTGTAAAAGCAGTTCTTAGAGGTTTTTGGAAGTACAATGGAAACAACAAGTTTTGGGTGCGGCCCTCGGTGTTGGATTCCGACCAATTTTTATGCCCACTCCTGATATATACATTAGCGTATAGACGTGAACACACTTTTTAAAATAATCTTATGACACTGTCGTCGATAGTATAAATTGGTAAATTAAGCTGTTTTTGTGATTTGGAAATCATTATTGATATACAAAATACGGTCAATGAGCGGCGGTGCACTTTTGATCTTATCTCTTGAGGTTCGGTTTAGAGGAACACATGTAATTTACTACAGACACAGTGCAAGTCGAAGCCATTATAGTAGGACGGGTTTTTAATTTTTATCAACCCTAAATAATGGAGTTTTTTGGCCTAACTGTTATTAAGGGATGTGGAATAGGAAAGCAGAATCAACTACTCCCAATAGGCCTAAGTAACGCCACATTGCACATGCTCATAATTGAAATACGTGACTATAAGACAAATGAATTATTATGAATTTACAGAGTAAACTGGTACTTCCCGCCAATATTATTTAATTTACATATAGATAGAAAATTGCTATTGTCAGAATGCTGGCGATTATCATTCAATTTATTTATTTTTTTTAAAGAGTAAAATAAAATCATATTAGTTACAGGCCATTTTTTGTTATATACCGTATTATATTATAATAATTGCGAGAATACACTTTATCACCCAGAGACGTTGTTCTTTGTCATAATGAACAGTTAGCCTGTCGATAAGATTACAAAATAAGTGAGCAAGGCCCGTGGCTAAATACAAAACTTTGTAATAGATGATCTGCAATGAGAAGCTATAGCAGTATTCAACTGACTCAGCCTCGTATTCATACATATGTATGAATGATGAATTTTGTTGTACAAAAATGTTACAGTACTGTAGTTATTGTACGTTCAATAGGATATTTTGAGAGATAATGAAATCATGAAGACATAATCGAATTTGACCATTGACCTATTCTTATTAATAAGTCCATGATTTGACCAATCACCGATGTCCGGATATTCGAAATTACAGTACTGTACTTGGAAACAGCTTATGGAAACAGCATCAACAGAGAAAAAGCACTTGAAAAACTATCATGAGAGGCATACAGACTGTTGCGATTACTGTCATAATAACCACACAGTGAATTGTACACAACAGAATGCACATCAGACTTGCCACAATATTCTCTTAATTATTTTTTTCTCATTCTGGGCAGCGCCACCAACGAGCAAGTTAATTTAGAACTAATAAATTTTTAAAAATCGTGTATGGGACGCCAATTAAGTTTTGTATGGCGCGCACTAAGCACAATAAAAAATGAGTTACCCAAATTTAGGGCCTGCAACAGGAATGGCGCCAGATTTTGACAGACGGGGGTCCGATGTCGCCGCCAAGAGAAAACTGGGAGTGGTTGGGTGTCGCCCACAATCCTTCGAAAGTGGTCCTGGGGCGAGATGCAATACTACTAATACTGTATGTATAAAAATATATATTATTTTTTTCCCCAATGAAATAGTATTTTTTCTCCAAGATTGGGTAGCTCTCTTCGACGGGGAGGGATGTTTTGTTATGTGGTTTGGCACCAGCATCATTAGGCAATAATGACTCACTGAGAACAAACATCTGTGACAAAAATTCTTCGTAAAGACAATTTATTTTTTCTACATGGTGATACAGCACTACACCTTATATCAGAAAACATCAAACCTACTGTATGTATACATGGTGATGATTCTAAAATCACCCGTAAGTTAAACAATCCAAGTGGCATTCCTACAAATTTACGTAAATTAATACTGAGCCCGCATTAATTATAATGTCCATATTTTGTGATGTCATGATTAAAATATTTAATACGAATGGGAATTAAAATACAATAATTCTATTGTTGTTGTAGGGTCCTGTTTACTTAAGGGGATATCTTAACACTATTGGTGTATCATCCAGTGTCTGTTTAAAATAAAAGTAGCCTTTGCAATTTGTCATGTAAAGTAATTGGCTGTGAACACATGAAAATACCACAGGACTAAATTCAAGTTCAGAAAAAAAACACCGAAATTATCAGCTATTTTTCCAAGAATATTATATAACAGGAACAGTTAAAATTAAGAATTGTAGTATCTATAAATATATATACATTATGAAAATGGATAAAACAATTATGATTAAATATTTAGAAAGAACAAGGCGAGGTAATCTGTTTGGTGTCAATTTCATTATCAAGATTAAATATTCTGATAATATTAATACAGACTTCTTCAAAAACATATAAAGACCAGTCCACACTGATTTGCACATATCACACCAACATATTTGTCACATAAAGTTCATAGTGTGGACAGGCATTTACACTGTGGTTCAGTTTATGTTAAAATACTGTACAGAGATCAAATACTTAAAATAGCTGTTTTCCTGTTTCGCAGGCTTCAACTTTAGCTACCAATGACCTTATACATACATTACAAACATCTAATATCTAAACATGAAGGAGGGTGTAGAATTTGAAAAGAGGAGATGAAAGGGAGGAGTAAGATTATGGAAGGAAAGGGAGAGAATGAAGAAAAAAAAATAGTTGCAAGATTAAAGTGGGAAGCTTTTAAGGTGAACAACTGATGAGCTGAAACATAGATAAGAGAAGCAGGCGGCGTAAATTGGTTTCAATCTTGGAGGGGGGGGTGCGGAAATTGAAAATACGAACTGGGAGGAGGTGTGAAAATTGAGAATGTGGAACTAAATCACTATTCCAATGAATACATAACATTGGTCATTGGGGAGAGAGGATGGGTGCAGAGAGGGTGGGTGCATAACCCCAGCCTATGCTCATGTTCTGGATAAGTATAAAAGAGAATTTTGATAGGGAAATTTTGAAGGATAGCATAGACAGACGAGAAATGTAGAAAGGGATGGGGAACATAAAAGGGGGAAGGTAGAGCAAAAGAATATAGAAGGGATGATAAAGAAGTAGAGTAAAGGTAGAGAAATGAGTGAGGTTGCACTACCTTACACATACATCCTTAATGAACAAACATTTTGGAAATGGGTCCAGATGAAGAATACTCCTAAGTGATGTTTTCCATAAAAGAGATTCACCGGAAATCAAACATATTTGCAATTTATAGTAGTTATTGAATGTAAGACTTCTTATCCTTGCAATCTTTACTTTATGTGATAAATACCTGTGATTTGCCCATATATGGGTATGCTATGACATCATAGATTATAGTGTGGACAGAGCTTTAAGTCTTTATAGTCCTGGGGGGTATTGCTATAAACGGTCTTTAGATTGTCTTAACGATTATCCGGCTTTAATTGTGACGTCACTACTGGTCTATGATTATATACCATTGCTATACCGCGGTCCTATCAGTTTTAAAGCCTACTCTGAGGAAGCTTAAAACAGTCTTAAATCATTTTCATCATGATGAAGACTGAAAATCGAATGAAAAATATTCCGCAAGCTTCAGCGTCTGTAAAAACCGGTCTATGTTTTATTACGTTCATTTTGATAAAATATGCATGTTTCGAACAAGTGTAACAGCGCCCTCAGTTTCATGTTACCAGGAAGTGCTTGTTTGCGTTCCAATACTCAAAGCAATCTAAGCAAAGAGCGTTTTATAGCAATGGTTTTAGCAGACTGACTTTAGTAACACCGTCTAAGTGATAAAGCCGGAATTATTCGAGTAGTTAAAACTATCAGTTAAGACCGTTTTACAGTAATCTGCCCCTTGTTTCTCTCACTGCCACTGACCAAGATCGCACAGTGCACACAGAATGTCTATGTACAGATGCCTCTGTTGCTATTCTATTCACATCTGCCTGGCTGGCTCGTAGACCAATCAACTCGCTGTCAATCACCAATATCATAATTTACACAATAAAATCATCTTGACTTTAGACAATGAACTTTGACTTGTAATTATACATGTCTAGCTGCCTAGCATGCAGATCGCAGACACAGACAATCAAACACACTTGATGAGAAGTGGGCCTACTCGCAAAACAATCACAAATACATAATGCAGGTGCCAAGCAATATGTTATTTGCAATTCATAACCGGCAGTTTTCATAGCTTAACGGCAAAGCATTGTTTGCTTCATGAATTAGACATTTGAAAGCATACGTTAACATAACTGCTATTAATGAATATTTGTACCTAATTAAATTAAGATTCAAGTACAGGGGTAAAGTTCATTTTAAAAACAAAAAAATAAATATTCTACTTGTACTTATCAAAAAGCAAATCTAATCACATTACACATTTTATGAGATACATGACCAATTTAAGGCTTAAATACAAGCAAGTGCAAACTCGCATAAATAACATTGGAATTTGAACTTCACAAATTATAAGAGCATTTAAGAGTAACATACTAAAAACTGCATATGCAAGGTGACACATTTAAAGGTTTTATATATTAATAAATATTATTAAAATCAAATTTTAATGCATTTAATGTATGGTAACGAGAATTTAAAAGCAAAATAAAAGAAAAAATGTTTCTCTCTTGAAAAAAAATTTTTTTTTAGAGGATGTGGGACCCGTTTCTTTTTTCTTCCCCAAGATAGCAGTGACACACCCACACAAATACACCCACAAACATAGTCCCATATCTCTATAACAAGCTATACATCATGTATAGTAATTACTACCGAAGATGACTGACTTTCTGTAGGCTTTTCTGGGTATCATCTTCTGGCTGGTAAATTAAAAGAAAGCCGCCCAGAAATAATTATATGCAAGCTGATGAGAAACATAGTGCTTTTATTTGGCCTGATTGTAGTTGTTAGACTAGTCACTACTGGATCAGAAAATGCTAGAAACAATTAATGAAGCATGACTTGAACCAATGAGTCTTGAATCAGGCAACATCATGCCATATAATACATCAACGTAGTAGTTTATTCCCAGGGGAATAATCAGTATTGATATCATAGTCAATGTGGATGGCTAGAATTTGAAACATGTTCAATCACAGACACTTATATCTTGAAGGCCTACAGTAATGCACATTAACTAAATTTGTAGGCACTCGGTATATAAAAAGATACATTAAGCTTACTGGCAGAATAATGCCTCACATTTTACCAAACCTTAGGCTACATAATGTGTTAAGCTGGGAACTCGTTGTGTTGTACGACGGTTCGTACGATGAATCTAGCTCCGGTCTTTGGGAGCGATGCATTGCTGTTTGCTGATTGTCAGTGGCACTCTGAAAGGACAGTCATTAAAAACAATCCATTGTGCGCATAGTGGCATTGCGTTTTACATATAATTGCGTCAGCCAATGACCGTCAAGCGCAATGAGTGACCGGCTTTAGCGATTAAAAAGATTGAGGACCGAAAAAAACTAATTTCTAAAAAAAGTTTCTAATTTTGACAGACAAAACCTTATTCTTAACATGCACACAAGCTTAAATAATAAGGGGTCTAGTGGCTTAACGCTTTAGCTAGGGCCCTGTATCTTTTTGATACTGGGGCCCACTTTGGGTCTTGGTCGCCAATTCCATTGAAGGATTTTAGATGTGCTCGTTTTTTAATTGTGTTTGTCAACGTATTCATTGGCGGATCAAGGAATTTGAAATAGACGGTCACGGATGAAGGGTCTACTATATGCCATCCTCAGTCCCACCATGGTTGGGATTGAGATAAGAAAATCTATGATTATGGCACCTCTAAATGGCTGGATATGTCACTCACAGACTTAAGATTTGAATATAGTTTTATTGTTACCTCCATTAAAAAAAAATTTAGGACGCACTACCCTATGGGTAAGTACAGTAGGGGCCCTTCGTCGCCCCTAGGCATTATGCCACTGAAGGAGTTTGAATGGATTCTTTTCATTTTACTCAATACAATTCTGTACTGGTTTAAATATCACAAACTGGCTAACAAAGTTAAAACGTTGTGACCAATACATACCATACATTTTTTGAGATAATTTTATATATACAAGTTAACAGTATAATAATAACAGTAACAACAATAATACAGCAATAACATTACAATTGTAATAACAATATTTACAATAATTATATTAAAAATAATTTAAATGACATAATGAAAAGATAACTGTCGAATGTACATAGTTATAACATGCCTATTAGTTCGTAACTTTTGTGGTGTCTCTTCCCATTGTGTTTGCGCCTTAGGTTAGAACCGCCTGATTTATCTGAAGAGGAACTATTATCAGAATGCTTGCGTTCCTTGCTGTTCACAGCCGTCTTCACGGTTAGATCTGATACGCTTGAATGCTCACTGTCCATGCACGATTTTGGTCGATTTTTCTTGCGGTTGCGACTTTGAGGTCGATCGTAATCATCTATTTCATGTTCCTTTAAAGTTTTATATTCCGGTTTACATGAGAACTTTGTCGGTGAGGTTTTCCCCATCAAGCGTTCTGGTGACATGATTTCAATCGGAGTTGAACTATTGCGATTTTGTGCAACCGACGAGCGTGGGGAGTTGAAGCCGCTGTCACCGTCTCCGGTGGAGCTCAAGCTCTCAATACGATTATGTACAGGTGGTCCTCGATTAGGGACCTGTTGGATGTTATTGTGACCATTCATATAAGGCTTATTGTGTTCAAAGTTACTTGAATTATCTGGGCTTCTGACATTAATTTGACTGTAATGATTTCCTCCACTGAAATTTGTCTGAACACTTTCATAATGAGAAGAACTTGTTAGCGAAATACTACATGTGTTCCTTCCAGAGTCTAAAGTGTCCTGACTATTAGATTTTGTACCAGAGAATTCTGGGTAAGCTGAAAATGTCCTAATAGCTTGAACAGGTGACAAGAGAGGTCGCTCTTCAACTGAATGCGGCAATCCTCCCATCAAGTTATCAATTTCCTGGTCATAGTAGTATTCAGATGATTTTCGAGGAAGTTCAGCTGGAATCTGGATTGGGGGTCTGGAAGAGACAACAATGGGTGCAGAGACTCTACGGTTTTCACCAGCATGACTATTGTTAACTTGGATACTAGAATGAACGGGTTTGAACTGGTTTTGCACGGGTAATGACTGTGGGTGTGGCTTTCCAGGCTCATTTGCATTTATAACTGATCGATAATGTACGGGCATCTCACTATCATGTGATGATAATGTTTCATCCGTATCAGTTGTTAACTGATCATAATGGGGATGATGCGGATAATTTTGAACATACACAGAACTACCGCTGTCAGAGATTTCCCCATTCGGTATTCCGGATGGTGGTGGTGTTGGTAATCTCTCAGATCCAGTTAAAGTTGATGTTTGAGATTCACAATCATCATATTTTGTTGCATTTCTTTTCTTATATCTCTCCCTTGATTTATCGCGTACTTTCCCCCTACTATTAGTCCCCCTTCCTCTTGTGTTCTCTTTTTGAGGGCGGTAATCTAATTCTGGGTCGTTGCAAAATGATTCGTTATCTACACCTTGAAATGGTTGGATCTTGATTGGGCTGCTATCTCGCAATGTTTGGAAATAATGTTTAATTTTGTCTTCTTTAGTTGATGGGTCCACTTTAGTTGTTTTTGTGCTTGTTTGTTGAGAAACTGCTTTTGTACGATACTTGTTATCATAGAGTTTTGTTGGTTTCAAAAACTCAGCTTCACTTTCAGGTAATGATTCCTGCTGGGCTTCTCTGTACTTCATATGCAGACTTTGTGCTTTGGCTGTCAGCTGCCCAGTCTGCATACGGTACACATTGAATTTTGTTGCGTCTTTTGGTAACGATTTTGTTTCACCTGGAGGGCGTGGTATCCCAAAACTATCTGTAGTTAGCACACTTGATTGATCATCCATAAAAGTGCTTGAGAGTTCACTTGAGTTTAGACTCTTCCTCGCATTTTCATTGTTTAACCAACGCACATGATTAAAGAACGGATCATGAATATCAGATGGCGGAAACTGAGCAGAGAAAGTTTCAAGTTTGGAAAGATTGTCGGTAGTTTTTATCTGTTTAGCTGGCACTGTTGGCGATTCCACAGCAGTTTTATTCAACGATTTTGAATGGTTCTTAGAGTGGTGCTTGCCACTCAATAAACGTCCAAGGCATGACGTTTTGTACTCTGAATCCGATGTCAACAACAGGTCATCCTCTGCATAGCCACGGCCCATGCGCATTGATCGTGTGCGATCAAAACTTGAACGTGGGAGAGATTTGCTTTTTCGCTCACGCATCGAGAGACTTCTTTGTAACCCAGGTCTAGTGTACTCTGGTTTAAGAGTGTTAAATACAAGAGAGTCATCAAAAGAATGCATCACTGGGGACTTTGTGGGTAAAGTCTTTGAGACTGCAGGTTTTGCGGGAACCTTTTTTGCTGTCACTTTAGGTGAGTCTACTGGTTGTGCTGCTTTAGCCTTTGGTGTTGTTTCTTCTTGCTTATCTTTAGGTGTTTGAGTACTTTTATCTGATACAGTTTTAGGCAGTGTGTGTTTCGTTATCTGACCATCTTTATATATTAAATAAGATTTCTCTGTCTGTTCAGGGTTTATATAATAAGCAGAGTTCAGAAGATAATCATCAAATTCGGTATCTGCAGGAGGAACAGACTGATCCAGAGCTAAATAACCGTTTCCGTTATGCCGGATCTTTCCCTGGTTTAGAAGATGCGTTAATGATTTGTAGATGATCTCCATGCTTGGTAGCGTTATATGGTTGTAGCACTCGGATAGTTTACCACGAATAACTTCTTGGTTTGCATTAATTTTTCGTTTATTCAGCTCTGATATGATGAGACAGAGAACTTCAGTGAGAGGGATGAATTGCGCTTGTTGAATGTTCTTCATTTGTATTGGCTGTACATCACCTAGAAAACAAAACAATGAGAAGTAAGAATTAGATTTCATTTTACGTTGAAGTACAATGTTACAAAATATCATTACTGATATAAATAATTTGCAATTTGAACAGTTTACTAATTTAGGCGTCAGTATTAAATTTCTGGAGAAACAAAATTGAGTAAGTTTGATTATTTTCAGTTGAGTAGGTACAACCATGTAGACAGATGTTTCATTCAAATTTAGTGTACTTTTTTTTCACCATTATTTAAGAGATTTATGGTAGTAACTTTGTGCCATAACCTCTGCAACTGCTTTCTTCTTTACATGTATAATATTATCTCATTGAGTTCAGTGTCTGTGATATTGATAGTAGATAACACAATTATGAACAGGTTCATGGAAGTTTACCAGTATACGATACTACCTTGAAATATGTAAAAGTCATAAATTACCTGAACAAGCAAGCTAGACCAAGCAAAAGCTCATGTTTCATATAAAAATGTTTATTAATTATAGTTTATATTTGCACACTTGTTTTTTAATAAATCCATCTATCCATTCATCCATTTGGGATTTTTTTTAAATACAGTATTTGCACTAAAATCCACAATATAACTCTCAGTGGCACATTCTAAAAATGTTTCTACAAAAATCCTTATAAAATTACAGTAGCTGGCGGATGTAAAAATTATAGAACTATAACCAATGTAGTAGTACAATTGTTTCACTATTCATTAGAAAGCTTTACAATTATTGAAATATACAAATTAGATAATTCATTTTGTAAAAAAAAAAAATTACATTAGATATACATTCGATACTTTAGGATGTCAAACCGTTGGTTACATGCACATTGTGTAGTATTCTTTTTCTTTTTTGATATATATATATATATAAAATTAATTTTTTAAATAATTAAAAAAAGACTTGGTAACTACTATAACTAGCCTGTAGAAGAGGCAGATTAAATATAGTAGCTAGGAATAACATGGTTGAGAATTAGTTGTGGATACAACAAGAGAGGGGGTTGGGGTTCACCACATCGAAGGAGGGAGAGGATGCATCTACAGTAGGTATGGGAAAATAATATTCAAAATTTGTTATGCCCTCAGTAGTACAATATATTATTCATATCAAAATCAGAAGAATTTAATTTACAGCATCCAAAATCATAAGATAATGTTAAAAAGGCAAGTACCTGGTACCTTTACAAATCTGCGTTCTGGTTCTATACATTAAGTGTCAACTTTTGAATAAACCAGATTTAAGGTCAAATGATTGAAATCAGAGTTTGTTTACATGTGCAACAAGCTTAACTACATCTGTATTTAACTATAGGACAATGGAACACAGGTTATCATGCTTAGCTTTGTTTGCACAGTACGGAGGGACGTGGACAGGTGAATTAGACTGTAGGGCTCAGGTAAGATTATCATAAAACCAGAAATTGTCCATGGACAGTAAATAGCCAGCATAATAGCTTCTGATAACATTGCCTGTAGTAAGGATATACTATCGAGCTATTTACCGACCCAACAATTGAGAAAGCGGAACAATTCACAAGCTACACATACATATTTAGCAACCGAACAAAGCAAAGAGTTCTTTTCAAAGATAACTGTACAGGCTAAACTGCTAACCACATGTACAGTAGTGGCGCCAGTGGGGCTGGGGAGCATTTTCACCCCGTAGTATAGGCCTAGACCACCTGTCATGCACGACTAGGTTGTCGGATCAAAAATGAAAAAAATAAGAATTTGCCTATCCAACGTTATTTTGACTGCCAATCCCTAATATTGTGGTCTAAAAGCACATTTTATACCATGTACTAAGCCATAAAAACCCTCCCTGTGAACCCTACAAAGTGAGTATTTATGCCAGGCCGTCGACCGATGGCTTCGTCAGCCTCTTGGCTTGGACCCTCCGTCAGACATGTCGGACCCCTTGATGGCAAATTTCTGGCGCCAACACTGCACATGTCCTGTACAGTACCCAGAAAAATAGCATCCATTCTTAATATAATTAGGCGTGTGATCCAACATGAGTAATTAATATTTAATTGTACTACTATTAATTCTCCAAGCTTATTTTGGAATAGATAACATTACTATTGACTTGGGAAATTGTGTAAGGTGGCAAATTGGATTTTTCAATTGGTTTCACACAGGGATATCGCAAAAAGTCTATTAAATTAAGAGCTACAGCACACATTAATAAATATTTCATCCTCTTAATATTTATAAAATAGATATTTTGAAAAATGGATATTATGGACTCATACTCTGGCCACAAAACAGCTTTCCTCACAATAGTGGCACATCTATGTGTGCACAGGGATTTCCTAATCACCCCTTAACCCATTTAAAATGTCTGAAGTAAAAAAAAAAATCTAGCAGATAAAAATACAGTACTTCATATCATGTTATATTTAAATGTTGATAAGTTGAAACAGTGATCTTAATGACATTGATAACTTAAGAAAAAAAATCAATATTTTCCAATAATTTCTGTAAAAACAACATCGAGAAATATAGGGTAAAATTATGTCTCAACACTTTGTAATAAACAGAGATAAACATCATCATCATCAACTATTACTATGCTTGAATAATTTGGCTCCAACCACAGTAATCAACAAGGCGTCATTACATACAGTATGCCTTTGAAAAGTTTATAATCCATTGGCACTTAATCAACATCATCTAATTTGTCCTAGTTTTTTCCACCCTAGAAAACAATATCACACAACAGAAAATACCATACAAATCAATGTCACATGCCTACGCCCATTGTTTTTTATTTTAAGCCCCATAAACAAATTTTAACAGTTGAAACTTTGAAAGAAGTGTATCTTTTGCAAGTTAGCATTTAGACAATGGCTCTTTATTGTAAAGTAACCAAACACTCAGACCTTTGCAGTAGGGTATGGAATCGTATCCTTAAAGCCATGACTACACCATAGCAACTCCATTCAATATAACAGATTAATTCCTGTTGGTGGAATTTCAAATTCGGTACTTGATATTAAACGATTTTGGAAGTTCGAAAACAATGCATATAATACTGTACTACCGTAACACAATTTGAGAAAATATACAAACATTTTAATGGCTGAATGGCAAATTTATGATCAAACTTTGGTAAACTGAAGGAAGATTTACAGCAAAAGATTAAACAGCTACTAGTATTAAGAAGGTTGAGTGGCCATACCCGACAGGAAAAAACCCAGTACAGTGGCTGCTTCTTTTCCCACCGTATATATGCCATTCTAAATTATGTTTTTCTTTCTGTCTGTAACATATCAAGTTAGCTTAAAACCATTGCATTTTAAAGAATTGTTATAGCTGTTGATATTTCAAACAATATACTTACAACTGACATTAAAATGACGCTATCTTATATAACATTATTGATAAACCTACAAACACTTTTTTTTTAGTAATGTATATAAAAAGTAGACATCATTCATGCAATAAAATTTTACAACGGTACATAATTAAATAACAATAAATTTTCTTCCTTTAAAATTTAATAACGCTATAAAATACAGTTTAAACACATAAAGAATTTAATGTATAACCTGATGTGTATGTATGTATTTTAGCCATGCACGTACAGAATGCATGTGCCGATAATAGTTGAACAACCGAATAATAATTTCTACATATGCATCTATAGCTTACGGCAACCGAGACAGGCGTGTTAATTACTGCAACCAGAAACATTAAGTTGCGTACCGTATAAAACAGCACTTTAAAGTATCTCTTAATTTTTTTCACTTTTTTAATGAGGCATCTTAAGTAATCAGTCAGCCTGACAAGTAACGTCAACGTTTCCATTTAGCCGTCTTTTATGGACTTTAGCAGAAGAGGTCAAGGGTACTCAAATGCAAGAGATGAAAATCTTGAATGACGGAATGCTGAACAGCTCGGGGTATTTGTAATGTGATTGACGATCTACTGTAACATCTTCAGGAGATAACCACTCGAGTTAGTTTACAAAATTAATGTGCTTTTACCATAATGAAATGTTATTATTTGCTTGAACTGTTATATATTCTGTAGATGTAATTCTGATAATAAAGCTCACAATATTTTCATTGATATTAAAATGAAAAGTGTGTTCACATTGATATTGGCACCCACATGCTTGGTACAAATGGGCATGCATTGATTTTTCCTACTGTATCGTCGTTCATACCTTTTTTTTATATATTTTGTGAGATCAGATAATTAAATAAAATGAGTAAATGAGCACTGACTCAAACCTATACGGCATCACATCCAAAGATGGAATTCAGAATGTTTATATTCTCAGCAATATAGATGGATGGTTGAATGCAAACAAAATATCTAGGCCTATGTCACCTCCTACTGTAAGAAAGAGAATCCTCCTTTAATAAAGGAATGAGTCATAAAAAAATATATTAACATCAAATCCAAGAGATCTGTAGATTACTCTAAGTAGCTTAATTGCCATGACAACATGCATCAAATAATGATATTTTGATTTCATAGAATATATTGACATTTGCCATGTTTAATGAAATTACACAAGAATGCAGACTTGGTTTATGTTCATTTTCATGCCGCTAATATCTTTGTTGTAAATATACAATTCATTACTGTACTGCATTTTCCATGTGCATCCAAAAGAAGTGACAGTTAATAATACAAAATATTGGTATTCTTCAGGCCTGTAGCAAGGGAGTTAAGGGGGTTACAATGACCCGCCCAAAAACTGGAGAAGGTCCGCATTAAAAACGAAAATTTGATATTCGTAAATATATTTACAATGTTCTTCAGAGTATCAAAGATCATACAAACCAGAGGTATTTCAAGTCGGCATTTCTTAAGCTTTTCCCAGCTAACAATATTACGTTATTGTACCATGATTTCCAAAGGGTCTACTTTCCACTGAAACAAACCTCCCACAAATTAAGTCACGCCACGGGCCTGTTCTTTAAAAAATACAATAACATAAAGAAGAGAAAATGGGCAATTACCCCAAATGTATGCTTTTATTC